TTTTAAGTGAACAATTTGAATACACACATTGATCATAGAAACGAACATGTAAGAAACCGCATTAGCACACGTTAGTACAAGGTACATAAGATGTACTATATACAAATAAAGAATCAAAGACGACAGTTGACGATAAGACACGACACGACAAAGGACAACCTACATGAGACGTTACCTAAGCCAATTATTATGATCTCATAGGCCTCGTAGACATATACATACATATATCGATCATACTCATATATACATGCAAATATAGATGTCATATGTATATGTATGCATGCATATATCGAAAGAGTCAGTCAAACTTGGTTTTCGTCTTTGATTTAGGCTCTTGGGTTAAACAAGATTAAAGACATAAGCTGTCAAAATTAATTTTCGAATGGTGTCGTAACTACCTTCACTACTAACCAACTAACAAGTTTTATTTTAAATACGAATGTATTATTTGATTTAATTTTTTCAATGTTGGAGGATTTAGATAGACGACAACAGTTGGCTAATAGCTATAGTACAACCACAAATTGTATGATAAATACATATTCAACTAACTAATTCGGTTATTAATTGCTCAATTAATAACTAAAGACGTAAGGAAACTTTATGGATCGAAAAAGCCAATTAATAGAAGGCAAAGCAAGAGGGCAACACATAAAACTAAATGTGATCGTAAAATCTGACATGCAATCAGAAGTACAACCACAAATTGTATATGCAATTAATCTTTTTTTTTTTTTTTCTGGGGGATAAAAGCATTTACCCTTAATATATCTATAATAAAATGAGCTTTTGACTTGAAGAGACATTTGTATTTCTTTAGACCTACTACTAGCTCTCAAATACAAACCATCTCAAATTCTTTAGTTTAAACTCTGTATTCAATTTTGTATACATTTTTGTTAAGTGCATATATAAATTTATTTCTTCATATATATCGATTCACACATCAGTAATTAAGAATTGTGATATTTTACAAATATTATAAATTATCACCCATATAAAAGTATATAACTTAAGATATATACCGTTTATTTCACATTTGTTAAAAACACGAATAAAATATAACATAATTAAAATAATGTTGTCCCTTTTAGCCGAACAAAGAAAGAGTTAGAGTTTGGCAGAGCGGAAGCGTTGCTTAATCAACGGTCGAATGTATTCATGGTAGCCGTCAGGAACCACCGAGTCATTGAGTGGATCCTTCAACGCTTCCTCGAAAAGCTTTGGATAAACGTTTCCATCATAGCGGCCCAGCACAGAGCCAAGATAGTGGTCAGTGTAGTCAAAGGCATCCACTAGGGCCACTGCGTTTGGTCGAACCTGAGAGTAGAGTGACCGAAGCTGGCGGTTCGCGAGTGAGCCTTGTTCAGGAGTGACAGAGTTTGTACTGAGGAAATCACCAAGGTGTTTGTGAAGGAGATAGAGTGCATAGATGTAGCATAGATTCTTGAGCTGTTTCTTCACTCCTTTTCCTTCAATATTTCCCTCTACTTTGGCTATAAACCTGTGAAATTTTCAAGTAGTTATGATTTGAGTCCGTTGATAAAATTTTAGTGAAGAAGCTTATTTACTTACTTAGAAACAACAATTAACTGGCAATGAGCAGTAGCAGCCTCAACAAGATCAGCCAAGAGTTCTGAGAATCCTTGTTCTTGATTCTCAAACTTGCTTAGATTGTTAGCACAAGTAACAGCCATTCTCAAAGCCCTTGCTTCAAAAGCTTCCAACACCATACCAGGGTTTAACCAATCCTCAGCTACATCCTCAACCAAGATAAAGTCAGAAAACAGATAGAGATAAGAGTATGAATTTTGTGGTATTATCCATGAAAAAATCACCATTTCGAACACTGGAACGGCATTGCAAAAGGTGTTTTGCTCTCCCCATATAAGCAGTTGTCCCAGAAGGAGCCTTTCCAGAACCCAACTGTGAAACTGTCTTCATCAGAAATCTAGCAACCTGAAGACCCAAAGAAACATAACAAATTTTAATACATTCTCACTTGCCAATATTAAGAGTTGGGGTCATGAATGAATCTTGTTATTCAAGAAGATGAGTAAGAATACCTGTAATTGCAACACAACATTGTCTCCCTCATATGTGCAAGCAGGAACATATACAGCAAACAACTCAGGAAGGCCACTACACCACAAGTATCCATGCCCACCACATAACTTACGACATTCTTCAATACCATCCTTTAACCAATAAAAAACAAATAAAAAACAATTTAGCTGATTTGCAACTTATTTTAATAAGTTTCGCTTTGAAAGCATACAGAGGTGGCTGAGGTAGTCATAGACTTCAATCCTGCAGTGCATGCATGAGCTTCAGGCAATGTTGCGAAATCACTGGTGTCTAGTCTTTTTGTTACATCGGTGTAGAGCCATTTCAGCCACTCCCCTACAAATCGAAATGCATATGCAGATGCTAGCAGAGGAAACAATCTGTTCTGCTGTGTTTTATAATCAATCACCTGCCATTTATAACAACGTCAATATGTTTTCTCTATGGTCATGACCATCCTCCATCTAGAGATTGGATTCTTACTTAAATAAGTTATAGAAAACATTTTTGTCCCATAGTTATAATGAATAGTGGGATTTACAGGAGTACCTGTGTCTCAATTCCACCATCCTGTGAGCCAAACTGCCTTCGAACAGCACTGTACCTTGTAGCAATGCAGACCGCCCGAGCCAGCGCGGTGGAAGCATTTGACACAATAGACTGTCTCACATACACCATAGTACCATACACCAATTGCCTTGGAACATCTGATGCTACATATTTTCCTTCTCTTGTAACTTTTGACAGTCTATAAATAGAAAAATATTGAACCATAAATCGGTTTCTTTTTAGGATATATATGAGTATATGGCTTATTCACATTAAAGGCCAAAGAGAGAGGACCTCATGAGCATTTGATCTCTAGGAATACGAAAATGATCAAACATAAGAAAACCATTGTCCATTGAGTTATATGCCCCGTTTCCAAACTTCATTCCGATATCACCAACGGTTATACCTGGAAGCGGAGAATGATCATCCAAACTACGCAGCTGCACGATGAATCCTGAAAAAAGAGAAAGATCTTATTAATCAATACTACTGATGATTATATACAAAAAAATTGAATAAGAAATTCTTTCCTTACCATGGACACCATGGTCTTTGCCATTGGTTATTAGACGAGCATAAACAACAGCATGAGTAGAAACTTTTCCTAGTCCACCAGGCCACCACTATATATTTCAAACAAAACAAAATTAAGACACAACTTAAAGACTCATAGTTCAACGAGATAATGATCTATCTCTTCCCCATACTTTAGATGATGTCTGAGTTGGACTGTGAATGATAAACTGGTCTGTCTTTGGATCGAAAGTGGCGGTTGTCTCAAGTCCTTGAACATTAGAGCCATGACCAAGCTCAGTTTGAGCATAACATCCAATTATCTGCATCTTATTAGCTAGAGACAACCACTTGTGTTGCTGTTCTTCTGTGCCTTGTCCTTTAAGTGCAGGCACAAACATTCCCTATATCCACCACAAAACCATTTCACCATCAAAAGTTTCATAAATCACCCAAAAAGAAATAGAAAATTTTGTGTAATACCCAATGCAGATCCAAGAAGCCTGGTTGATCCATGAAAGATCTTAATTTGATTCCTTCCTCATCAGAGAGACGAAGCTCGTTAATCATCTTCCAAGCGTGAACACTTTTTCTCAACGTGTTCTTGAATAACTCTTTCCTTCTCATTACTGCTCTTTTGCTTTTCTCAAAGATCTAACATGACAAAAATGCAAAAATTCACATTCACCGGAAAAACAGAGAAAACGATTAAGGAGGTAGGAAAAAATTTACCGGATCATTGGCGACGAGGCGAGAAATGCGATTTGAAACGTCGAAAGCGTGGCGGGAACCGGCCCAGACGATCTTCATATCGTCGACGTTGAACTCAGCTTTGTTCCTCTCATCAGCAAGGTGATCAACTCTCTCCATTATTCCCTCTATTGTTTCAGATTCTCGAGTGTGTGAAAAAAATGGATAAATCAAAGAGAAGCCACTAAAAAGCTCCTACCTTTGGCGATTCAACAAGAGAGAAATCGATACATAAAAACAGAGGATTTTTTGCTATTTTTAGGATTAGAAGTTAGAACAGAATGAGAGATTACTGATGTAATAAAGGTAAAAAAAAATTGGTTATAGAAAGTTCAAGTATTTATCATTTATATCGGATTCTAAAGAAACACGTTACATTTTTTTATGATTAGATTTTGGATAAAAAAAACTAACCAGGCTCAAATCATCTACATATTTGCCATTACTACACTCTCATGGGCTGGGCTGGGCTGGGCATATTTTGCTCAGCTACTTTTGAGTTTTTGTTGACACTTTTTCTTTTTTGTTGGGTCAAAAAAGACTTCAAATCAGTCGAACCTAAATAGCCTATTTGTAAAAAAAATTTTACTCGAAATTCTTATTGAGGAGTAATTTTTTCCGACTTTAAAACATTAAAAACACAGACTACTTTTATTTCAAAAGTACGTTAAGTAATTTTTTTCTGAAAATTTATAAATTAATTTTCTTTGTAAAAACTTGAACCACATTCTCTTCTTTTAATTAGGTGTCACAATCAATTAAAAATTCTGTAAACTATTTTTTTTTTTTTTTTAACGACTGTAAACTAATTTTTTTTTTTTATCGGATTCGCTCACTCATAAAATAAGTCGGGACGGTTTTAGATCAACAGAACTGTAATTAAAACATGTTATAATTATGTATCCTTAGTTTAATGTTGATCCGCATCATCTAAAAGGGGGCTTCCACAAATGTATATGTAGATTAAAGAAAGGATCTTATCCAAAAAAAAAAAAGGAGTTAAAGAAAGGATAATCCTAATGTTATCCGGGCCTTGTGCGACGCATGACTCTTTCTCCATAAATCGCAATAACACGTGTCAACAAAGCATTGACTTTCACCTAAAGCTTCTAATAAGAGGTGAAACGCTTGTCAGTTTAGAAAAACCCTCCTCTTTGAAAACACTGAGATCCTTCTTTTTTTGGTTCTCCTCTCTTTAAGAGAAACCTAAGGTTGAGTAGAGATTAGGCGAATCAATTCTCGATCCCCAAATTTCGAAACTTGTTCTTAGGGCTTTGCTCTCGATTCCTCTCTTCGATCGTTGGCGATTTGATTTCTATCTATCGGTGATCGGATTTTTTCAGAGTCTTCTCCGTCTCGTCGTTGCCGGCGTCTGATCGGATCATCGTTTTGTTCAGGCGAAATATGGTGGTGATTTCCCTGAAGATTTTGAATTCGAAATTTCTCAGATTGCTTCCGCTTGACTTTATCGCGATTTCGATTACGTGTAGACTTTCTTCTTGGCTTTGTCTTCGAATCCTATAATTAACCATTTAGGAGTTTTCGTTTTGTGTTTTGATGGTCTTGTGAATAATCGTGTCTGGTGTATATAAAGACTGGTGATTATTAGGGTTTGGGACGAGAGTAGATTGCTTTGGGATCTCTAGATCTTTGACTGAGGAATATGTATATCGAAGAACTGACAGAAAGGGAAGAGGAGGAGAAGGGGGAGAGATCGGTTGAGGATCACGTTGCTGATGGAGATAAGGCGATTTTGGTTAGCAGAGGAAACGTGATTGTGTTGACTACAAAGAGGGCACTCGTTGGTGTTGGTGCTCGTGCCTTGTTTTATCCTACTCTGATTTACAACGTTGTTAGGAATAAGCTCGAGACTGAGTTTCGCTGGTGGGATCGAGTTGCTGAGGTAAAATTTCATTGTTCTTTGAGCTGATTTGTGTCAATTCAATGAAAATTGATACATTGGTCATGTAGATTGCGCTGCTTTTGATGTTTTGGTCAAATCGTCTTCATTTCTTTGTTGAATCTCTTGTAGATACTCCTCTAAGTATGTTTTCTGGATTTGGTTCTGTGTCTTATGCTTATACTTCGCTCTCATAATTTTACTTCTACAGTTTATATTACTGGGAGCTGTTCCATTCCCATCTGATGTTCCACAGCTGAAAGAGCTCGGTGTTTGTGGAGTGATCACTCTGAATGAGCCATATGAAACTTTGGTTCCATCGTCTCTCTACAAAGTCTGTCTTTTCTCCATATTTAATCTGGCCATTCTGTCTTTTCTCCATATTTAATCTGGCCATTCTGTCTTTTGGTTTCTTCCATATACTAACCTCATTTAATTTTCTATGGAAGTCTTACTGCATTGACCACCTGGTGATTGCCACAAGGGATTATTGTTTTGCTCCTTCCATGGAAGCAATATGCCAAGCTGTAGAATTTATCCATAGTAAGCGTACCTTCTCATTTTATTCTCTTACGTTTTTTTGCCTCTTGCCATTATTAAGAAGTTTACTGTTTGTCTCAAGCCGTGTTCCTTTGATCTCAAATTCTATTTTGTCTCGTTGAAGGAAATGCTTCGCTTGGAAAGACGACTTATGTTCACTGCAAAGCGGGTCGGGGTCGCAGCACAACTATTGTCATATGCTACTTGGTTTGTATTGCAATTGATCACAGAAAAACAATTTGATCAGAGACACTTTTTCTCCTTCTCTCTGATCATACCTTTTCAACGCAGGTTCAACACAAAAACATGACACCTGAAGCAGCATATGCCTACGTGAGGTCAATCAGGCCCAGGGTTCTATTAGCAGCCGCCCAATGGAAGGTATTTGACAGGGGTCCCTGTCTTCATTACCGATGAATCAGAGATAAGCCCTTTATTATTCTTCTTCTGATTATTGGTGTGTTTGCAGGCCGTTGTTGAGTACTACCATGTCAAGGTGCTGAATACTCAGAGCTGCTTAACTGATACAACTTCAGCTTTGATCCCGAGAAATGTGAAGCAGGTTTGTTCTGGGAATGTAGTGGTGTTTGATGATGGGTCAATGGTGGTAGTCACCCACTCGGATCTAGAGGGCTATGATGATGATGACTCACGGAGGTCAGTGAAAGTTACTGGGAATGAGCTATGGGCGGCAGCTGCAGATCTGAGCATGGTGTACCGGGTGAAAGTGGTGGGGCAGGCTGCGATGGCGAGGATCTCGTGTCTGTGGCTGGGCTTGCGTGAGGACCACAAACTTTCTGGGAAAAATCTTTCCATGGGAGGCATAAGCGTTGACATTTCGGTCTACTGATGATGATGGCGAAGAATGAATGCAGGTGAGTCTGCTGGCGAGTGAGTGAATATGCCTTATTCACTGTTTCTCCCCAGTAAAAAAAAAAGTCTATAAATAAAAGTGTCAAATTAGGTATAGAAGCAAGGGTTTGTAAATTTGAAAAAAAAAAAAAACAACTTGGTTTTGTCGTCTGGGTATTGTAATTAAATACTACCTTGTCCCTCATTTGCCTTTGATGAGGATAAACGTGAATTAGTCTCCTTAAGAATCTAAATTTCAAGTTTAATCTTATTGATCTGAATGTCACAGATTCCCAAACTAGTAAGAGGGTAAATTAAAAGGTAACGACACAGTAAATAGATAGAAATGTAATAAACCAGATAGCGATCTCAGCCTTGTTGATCCCTACTACAAGAAAAAGATCTCAACATCTACACGGCCACTTTTATTCATCAACTTCCATAGAATGTTGTTTGTTGGCATTAGCAGCACTGCCAGGGGTGGATGGTACTGCTTCATCTGAGTTACAGAGGAGGATGGTAGTGCATTTGTGGAAGGTGTTGGCGCAGATAAGACCTTGGTTCCACAGTTTAATCCTAAACATTCTCCACCACCTGCTCACACGCAAGCATCAAAGCAAAGTCAAATATAATGTGATTATCCTCCAACAAGCTTTTGGGATCATATGATGAGTAGAGTTAGATATTAGTTTGATGTCTATGGAAGACTATTACCAATCGAAAGATGAAGAATTCTTCATCTCTTCCTTGTGAAGTTTTGCAAACTCTTCACATGCCCAAGGAACATGTCCATCCGCGATCACCCTGCACACAAAGAACCATATTTTAACAAAGCTAAGACCCTTCCAACAATATGGCAACTTGACTGTGATCATATTGTTCTAATTCAAGGAGAGGGCATGATTGATGTAAGATGTATGCAAGAAAAATAAATAGCTATATACCTTTGCTTTCTTACAAATATGTTCCAAAGATACATGTATCGCTTTTCCTCTTTGCTCACACCCACAAGACGTTCAAGTCTCTGTGAATATTTTGAAAAACTCAATAAGAAGCCTCCAGTGAATATGATTTTTCGTAACAATTTAATAAAAGTCAAGAAAAAGCAAGAAACTAAATAAAAATTACCAGGCGTTCGTTAAGATCTAAAGCATAATCATCAGTTTCATTCTCGCTATCCTCGTTAGACATTACTTGTTCAATAGTCATTGGCTTCAACATGCAGCTTTGGTTAGTGAAATAAAACAGATACAACATTTTTACATAAATCAGTGACATGAAGAAAATTAAACCACCTGCATTGTTTGGGAGTGATAGAACTGCCGACTCTTAAGAGACTCCAATCTGGAAACAAGTAATAATCTTAGTTAATATAGTGATTATGTAAAAATTTGAGCAAATAAGTCAAAAGATAATAACCTTTTAGCCTCGCACCGCTCTGCATATAACTCTTTTCTTCTACTAGCACGAGTCACCTTAGGTTCAGAAGGCTCAGCTTTTGCTGGTTGAGTCGTAGTTTTAATGTCGCTAGTCTTCTTCGCAGAGCGAGTTTTTGGTGGCGATGAGACATATTTATCATCATTCTTACGAGTAGATTTATTCTTCCTTGAAGAGTGAGCTCTTGGTGTCGACGAGACATTATCATCATTCACATGAGGCACCTGAGGTTCAGAAGACTCAGCTATTGCTGGTTGAGTCGTAGTTAAAACGTCGCTAGCCTTCTCCGAAGAGTGAGCTTTTGGTGGCGATGAGATATTATCATCATTCACATGAGGCACCTTTGGTTCAGAAGACTCAGCTATTGCTGGTTGAGTCCCTCTAGCCTTGTACCGCTTTGCATATAACTGTTTTCTTCTACTCACACGAGGAACCTTAGGTTCAGAAGACTCAGCTATTGCTGGTTTAGTCTTGATTAAAATGTCGCTAGTCTTCTTCGAAGAGCGAGTTCTTGGTGGCAATGTGACATTTTCATCATTCACATGAGGAGATTCATTCTTCTTCGAAGAGCGAGTTCTTGGTGGCGATGAGACATTTTCTTCATTCACATGAGTAGATTCATTCTTCTTCGAAGAGCGAGTTCTTGGTGGCGATGAGACATTTTCATCATTCACTTGAGTAGATTCATTCTTCTTCGAAGAGCGAGTTCTTGGTGGCGATGAGATATTATCATCATTCTTATGAGTAGATCCCTTCTTCTTTGAAGAGTGAGCTCTTGGTGGCGATGAGACATTATCATCATTCTTCTTCGAAGAGTGAGCTCTTGGTGGCGATGAGACATTATCATCATTCAAATGAGGCACCTTAGGATCAGAAGACTCACCTATGGCTGGTTGAGTCGTAGTTAAAATGTCGCTAGTCTGCTCCGAAGAGTGAGCTCTTGGTGGCGATGAAACATTATCATCATTCAAATGAGGCACCTTAGGATCAGAAGACTCACCTATGGCTGGTTGAGTCGTAGTTAAAATGTCGCTAGTCTGCTCCGAAGAGTGAGCTCTTGGTGGCGATGAGACGTTATCATCATTCACATGAGTAGAATCATTTTCTGTGCCACGAGGTAGGTCGTCTAAATCCAACTCCATAAGGAGTACATTAAGTTGCTTAACGTTATTGCTATCATCTCTTTGGCTTCTTTGGTTGCGATGTTTCGAGCTGCATAGATTGTGGTTTGGCTTTTAGAAAATGATGCTGAAACATATCATAAATACTAGAGAAATGCATTCGAAATTTTACCAAAACGTCAAAGGGCTCAATTGGGGATTTCCTACATCATTTTTTAGAACCTGAAACCAAAAAAAAAAATAAACATCATGATGAGTTCAATATTATGACTAACATGAATAAAATCTGATCCACCTGAAATGTTACTTATGTATCAAGTTTATTACTAACCCCATATTTTAAAGTATCACTTTTCACGGAGACATCAACTTCCGGGCCATGATCTTCCTCTGCCCGCTAAAATAGATAAAGAGTACTCTTGTTACATATAATTTCCTGCCAAAACCTAAAACAAAATTAGACCACTGAAAAAATTACTTACATAAAAATCAAATTTAAAGGCGTCATGTGATGTCTTCAAATGATGTTGCAGGCCCTGTGCACAAACATAAGACATTGTATTTTAGCGAAGATTCAAGATCTAGACTAAATGAGCATGAAACTTTTGAATACACATTGTTAAAAATGAAATATATCACTAGAAAGCTTGATATTATAATTAATTAGTGCCTACCTTGTGGCCTCCACATGGAATCAAGCAAAATGGGCAAGAAAATTTTTCCACTACTGCATTTGGATATGTAGATGATAAACTGTCAGAAGAAATCACAAGGAGAGCCAAAAGATTCTGAAGGAAACAACCAATTAAAGACTCACCTTCAGCTTTTAGTGTTTTTTTGTTACTCACATCCCTATAGTTGAATCTTATTTTCCCACTTGAATTTGACCTAAGCGAAATATTAGTATGGCATGAGCAGAGATCAAATGTATTAGACAAGATAATTAAGAGTAATGTCCTAATTAAAATACCACAAAAACAAAATTTAGTTCCAAAAAAATACTTATGAAGTTTAACTTTATGAAGGGTCCTTTCACAAATTCTATGATTTTGGTGGTGATTTTAGAAAACAAAATATAAAATATGGTATTTTTGAGAAATTTTCTTTGAAATGGTATCACTTCTGAAAGCATAGAAAAATGATACATAAACTAAAATGATAGAAGAGATTCATACCTCTTTTTTTTCTTTGCATTGATTATGTATTTCAAAGACCTTCGAAGGAAATATGGCTGAATAAACAAAGAAAAACTTATTAATAATAAACAAAACTATGGATACAAACACAACTACTCATTTCCTCTCATTTAACTATATTCTAATTAGTAAATAGGAATAAACTAATTTATACATAAAAATGAAGAAAAATTGTTAGCACATGTCAATAGATTAAAATGGTTCTGAGCTAGAAATAATAAAAAGTGTTTGATGAAGAAATTAACCACAATAAGCACATCACCAAACTGACTGACACAAAACAGAATGCATACGTTGTATTTTGAGCGAGCTTCAAGACCCTTGTAGACTGAAACAGGTTTGATATATTTGATGATATTTTCATCAACATCAACATCATCATCATCATCATTATCAGAAACCACTACCACTTCCTTCCCCCGTATGGACTTCCTAGCCATCTGCTGATCAATCTACAAGATGCGACGCCATAAACATTGAATTAGACTGTGATTCACACACAATTTTAATTAGCAGAAATATCAAGAAAGCAATGAAATATGTATAGATCATAGGCAAAACTCCGAATTAATCGTCTAACCATCTTTGGTTCACAGTGGATGAAAGAGCCATGAAATGTTAGCTGGCCAAATGCGATATATAAACTAGAAAGGAAGGTAAAACTGTAACGGCAGACCTTTTTTGACCTTTTTTGACCTTTTATATATAGAGAATAAAGAATAGTGGAGTGACAAATGTGTATGTTTCCCAATATGAAACATAATAGAATCTCTACACATAACTTCATAGTTAAAAAAAAAATAGAAGCGAACGTTATCTACAAATAGTAAATCTTCTTATTGTTAATTTTTTTTTGTTGAAGAATATAAAAGCTGAATAGATTTATAATTTTTTTTAATATGACTACGAAAAGACACAAATCAGAAAGAGTCTTATCTTTTGATATTAACTCTTCCCTGATTAGTTGTGCTTCATCACAGAAGTATATGCAACTTCATAACCAAATTTTGAGATGTATAAAAATATATTTTGTATATAATTTAATTTTGCAGGCAAAATGCTCTTTAAAATGAAGATATTGAATTAGATTCATAAAAATTTGATAAACAAACAAAAGTTTGTAAAGAAAAAAATTTAATCGGCAAAAAAGACTATTAAAAAGTAAAGTAGAAAAAAAGATCATGGAAATGATAAGATATATTGTTGAAATTCGTACATGTTCATAAACCATTGACCAAATCTAATCATGCAAACTTAATCTATAGAGATTTCGATTTACTTTTTTGATTTCGTAGCGGAATATGATCGATTTCTGATTTTGCAGCCGATTAATCGAACGAAGAACAATTCAGGATGCACCTTCACAACTCTAACACAAAACTAGTATCAGAGAGATTCTCTCGTATTAGCTAGAACCTTCATTTTAGGTGTTGTGCGGCGTGTTTCTGAGAAACCTATATAACATATTTATAGAGATAAGATACCCAAAACCCTAAATATCAAAGCGATTGGACCTAAATTATTGTTAAATGTCGGAATTTAAAGTTAATATGGCCCAATTTAAGTCCAATAAAATCGTTTCATTTGTAAACTTTTGTTCTTCCGGTTTGGTAACCAACTTTAAATTTATTTTGGTTTTAGTTTAAGATTGATTAAAAAAAGTCTAATAAAATCAGACAAAATAGAAGGATATCTAAAAAATTTTGAATACTAAAACCAAAGAATATGTCTACATAAGAGAAGAATGCAAAAAATAATCCCTAACCCAAGAGAATTCTAAAAGAGCCAAATAGCATAATGTTGGGACTCAACAATCTCTCAAACACATACTTGAGATTTCACTAGGTTTGATAAGTTTCACTTGGAGGTGTGGTCTAAAGGTGGTTCTAAAGAAGGTAATGTAACATAGTGAAACAAATCCAGCCATTGAAAATGTTATGAGTTCCAACTTCTCAAAAGAGTCTCCTTTAAATCTTCTATTGGAAGAGCTCGTATAGAAACGTTTGATTTTATTTTTCATCAAATTAAAACTATTAAACTTTTATAAACAAAATGTGGAAAAAAAAACTTTTATAAACAAAAAGAGTAAAATTCGATTTTTTTTTTTTTTTTCCATTTTCCTCCGAGTGAGACTGAGAGAACTTTGGACACTCAAAACTGAATTGCCGGGAAGAGCGAGCGCGTGAGGTTTGACTTTGAAAAGGGTAAAACAGTCAATTCAAAAATCATAATCATTCTATATATAGAAGTTTCTCCTTGTGAAGCGCGTAAAATCGAAGAAGATGCGTCGATCGGCGAGCGCCTCCATAGTTTCCGACCAACTCTCAGCGAATTCACCGTCACCATCACCATCTCCGCCGCGAATTAAAACCGCCGCAGATTCAGATGATAGCCACCTTCTTTTACCTAGGTACGATCCCAACTCTCATCCGGGGAAGAAGAACAAATCGCGATTCAGATCCGCCGAGAACGCTATCCATTTCATTCCAATCGTACTCATTCTCTGCGCCGTTATACTCTGGTTGTTTTCGAATCCAGGTAACCATTTCGATTCCTCCGAGACAAATCCTCTCTGCAGGGTTCCATGTCTGTTTTGGTGTGACTTACGTTTCTATTGTTTGATTTGTTCACAGTAGCAATGATCAAACAATGAAGATTACATGGTGGAAGACAGACTTTGATTAGGTCAAGCTTACTCTGTTCTTGTTGTGACAGTTTTCTCACAAATGTTAGCTTCTTTGTCTCATTAGCATAAACGAATTACATTGTATGATTCTTTAACATTTAATCACAGAGTTTATATTAACTTCTTTGAGATTGTTCCTCTGATCATACATTGTTCAATGGAGCATATGCTTTTAGATCTCACTATATATACGAAATTCAGCTTTTTGAAACAAAGAGAGGTTCACACTCAAAGTTTGTGTGTTCAAGCATTGGTCCGAGTCTCAGTAACTTTGGTATGACAATATTGTTTCTAATGGAACACACTAGAGGATTCTCCCATTGCAGAAGTGCTCCGACTAGGTTTGCACGTACTGTCAACGGGAATGCCCGAGACCATCTCTCACTCCCGTATGATTCCATTGCCTCTTCAATTGATTCGGTTCCTCCATTTATTGCATTCGCAAGTTTATTGGCCAGAACAACTGAATCTTCCAAGGCACAGCAAGCACCTTGTCCAAGATTTGGAGTCATTGGGTGCCAAGCATCTCCAACGAGAACCACTCGGCCTTTTGATGCTGGAGGAGCAATGCCTGGCCATAGCCACCGGTCTACAAGAGGAGTTCTGCTGATTGTTTCATCAGGTGTTAGCTCGATGAGGTTTTGCAGATCTTCTGGCCAGGTACTAACCAGTTCTTTGGCTTGTTTTTTTAGGATAGCTGGATCCGTAATTTTGGGCCCTGCATGTCTCAAGGTTTTTAATATAGGAAATGGAAGAAGTAATATGTCTGAGAAGTGTTGAAATCTACCTAGTGATGGCCTGTTGAAACAGATGAACCAGTAGACTTTTGTTGCAGATACAGGTACATATCCAGCTCTAAGCCCTTTCCCGTATATGTAGTTCACCTTGTTCTGAAATGGCTGCCCATTTGGAAAGAACCCGAGGCCACGGAAAGCGCAATGACCAACATATTTCGGCTCACTGAACCCCATCCAAGTTGCAACCTTAGACCGGATACCATCACAGCCAATAACAATCTGTCAAAGACATACATAATCAAATCAGCCTAGGCACATATCTTCTGGTCATAGTAGCTTGCTGCATCATGATGTCTGATAAGCAAAAGGTGCTTGAAGAAAAAGGTAAAGCATCATAAACACACAACCATAGGCTCAGAGCCTGAGAGAAGAGCTCAGGAGAAGATTACCTTTGAGAGCAACCGGGTTCCATCTCCAAGTTGAAGGAGAGTGTCACCATTGGCATTGCTTTGTATACTTTCTAGTTTTGAGGAAAACTGAATGGTTTGTGGAGGAAGCTGGCTTGCAAGTGTTTCCAAGAGTACTCGCCTCTCCACGGCCCGAACTTCTTGGCTATACAAGACATATACTTTGGTTGGTTACACACACATGAATCAAATGGAATGCTTTTAGCCAGCAAGTTATGAAGTAGGTACCTTTGATCTTCGTCTTTAAATTTGAAAGAACGAAGCTCTCTTCCATCTTCATTCTTCACTACCATCCTGCTCAGCTGATCATACCAACACACTCAGGTAAAACCAAGAACAAATTTTCTCACTTTTTGGAGCATAAACTCCTGACATTCTTAGAAGACCGAATCATCTTTTTTTTTTATATGTGCAGAAAGAAACTGTACCCTTCGATTTCAAGAAACTGCGGTCGGAGTTGAGGCCCGACGGAGATGGCATCAAGAACGCGCCACCCATTCTTGAATAGCGTCAGCGATGTTCCTCCGGTCCGAAGCGACTCTACCTGCTCCAACACCACCGACCGGATTCCTAGCCTAAACCGTCAACCAAAGCCTCCCGTTTAGTGGCTCTGAGTTTCTAATAAATTCAAAGAACCGGTTTTTATAATTCCTACTTACCGGTGAAGAGAAACGGCGGTGGTAAGTCCGCCAATCCCGGCGCCAACAATCACTACATTCTCCTCTTGGTCACCACCGTTTGTTTGAGCATTGGTCAGTGCTAAACACACCGGTTTTGATCTGGTTCGAACCGGGAACCATCTGTTGCTTTGCCCTAAGGATTGGAGAGGATAGATCGGAAGCAGAACGGACATGGCCACGACCGTGTTTCAAGAAGAGGACAAGAGGATATGTATTCAAATAAATTTCAGCCATAAATAGTGTAGACTTTATAGTTTACCTATTTCATTCTGTAGTCAATATGAAGCCACGAGGCCAACGAACTAAATAAGTATTGAGTGGTTTTATATTGTTCAAAAAAAATATATTGGTCACATTTGAGCTTCGTTGTTTACAGACACTCAAGTGTTAATACAAATGGAGAGTACTAGAGTAGTATATAGGCATTGTTCTCAATATGATATCAACAAAAAAAAACCTTCTGAAACATATTGAGACTCTTTGATCTATCCTATGCTAAGTAAGAGGAAGCAGGAACATATTTTCCTACAAAACCAAAACCAACAACGAAGAAGGCCACTGACTGAAACAGAAGGTACACATAGAGTGTGTTCTTCCCGTAGACGATGTCGTAGATTCCGCAGAATAACAGGTACGCTCCAACCAATAGCTCCAGCAAATGTACCCTGCAACAGATTCTTTGTATCATCGGTTTAAGCTCAAACTTGGTTAAGTAAGGGCCTATTATGAAATGTGTACTTACCTCTCTCTGAATCTGACGTTAGGAACTTGTGGAATCAGCTTCGTCTTTAGAGTATCACCTAATTTCTCCGTCACAACCCATTCTTGTACTCTTCCTGTTTCTAACAATCCCATGACCAGAGCCTTTGCTCGTAGCAGGGACATTGCATTCTCAAACAGAACCCAGAATGCCAAAAGGTGGATTGATCTTAGTCTACCGATTGCGATTAAGAGAGTGATCAAAGAAGGGAGATAAAATGCAGCCCATTTCGGAACTGTGACTTCTGGGAACAATACAGTTGCTGGCAAGATAACACAGTAGAAGCAGAATGTGAGGATGTGAGCCACGATCTTGCGCATGAAGAAGAAGCTGTACAACATATACAACTTCTTCCATAGAGAAACATTCTCGCTTCTTATTATTTGTACAGCCATTTTCCTGAATAGATTGGCAGGGCCACAAGTCCATCGATGCTGCTGGTTACGCAGGGCTTTGAATGAACAAGGTAACTCACTTTTTACCTACAGATAACATATTAATGATTCAAATGCACAGCCCAAGATGCCAAGAAAAGAGAGGAATCTTCTATCCATACCTTGAGATCATCGATATATAGAAACTTCCAGCCTCTCAGTGTAGCCCGTACAGCTAAGTCCATATCTTCTACCGTTGTCTGGTCATTCCATCCCCCAGACTCATTCAATGCTGTGATTCTCCAGACGCCAGCAGTTCCTGCAATAGTTTCAGACAATAAGAAAAAGCTTTATGGAAAGAAAAGAAAAGATTATTGAGAATGCTATACCGTTGAACCCAAAGAAGGCAAATGTTGAAGATCCAACTTGCTGCTCTATTGTAAAGTGGTAACTTAGAGACATCTCCTGTAATCTCGTCATCATGCATTGACCCGCGTTCACTGAGATTGTTAGCAAAAGAAAGATCTCAAAGCATGTACAATCTATAAATTTTGTGATGGAAAAAGAAAAGAAAGGTGTCTAAGGAATGTTACCAAACTCCCACCGGCCTTGTACAAGTGCTAACTTGGGATTGTGAATTAAGAAAGGAACAGTGCGGTGGAGGAAGTCAGGATCAGGCTGGAAATCAGCATCAAAGATAGCAACATAGTCACACTGCTTCACATAGCTATGCTTCATTCCTTCTCTCAGCGCACCAGCTTTGTATCCGTTCCTGTTGTCCCTTATCTCAAACGTTATGTTGACACCTTCTTTCGACCATCTATCACACTCCCTTTTCACCAATTCCTGTTTCCTTCCATCATTGCCACATAACCAAATGTTAAGGAACTAACTTTAACACAAGACAATCATGAGTCCAAAACAGAGGGCTTGAGAGGAGAAAGGACAAGTGTCTATAGAGGTTAAAGAAGGACCTTACTGGCTGGATCCGTGGAATCATCAAGCACTTGAATTATTATACGATTCGATGGCCATGAAATTTTACAAGCAGCTGCAATTGATTGCTCACAAACCTACCAAATACAGAAAAATCCCATCGAATGAGTTCAACTACATAACAATCACTGGAAAAAAATAGTTGCTGGTTCAGTTGTTACCTCTTTTTCATTGTACATAGGAATTTGCACAAGAACCATAGGGTAGCTTGCACTGCCACACTCAACATCACCCTCCATAGGCTCCCATTTGTAAATTTTCTCTGGTTTTCTCTTGAACAACTTGACATACAAAACGACGATTCCCATGTACATAACCTCTACGAAGAACATGACAGACATGACCAAACATAGAGCCACCAGGAACTTGAAGACAGGTACAAGTACAACAGCCCTTATTAGCTGCCACCATAGTCCAATTCGAGCAATGATATCTTCCGATTTGAAGGCATTGAGGAATGCCACTGATGTTTTAGAACTTCCAACTTGAGACTTCAGTGAGAAGTAAAAGAGAAGAAGATTAAAGAAACCAGAAATTGGCCCACGAGTTTAATACACATTTAAAGACATCTTTAACATTCTTGAATCCGCAAATCTAGAGAACAAGAAAACACCAAGTTTAATACTATTAGAGGACAAAAAGACAAACACGATAAAGATTTGGTATTTTGACCGATCTAGTGAATCAGATCTAAAGCAATGTAGCACGCAAGAACAATAAACAATGGGTTCTCACAATTTAGTGAAATCCAAGTCAAATTCAACAGTAACCCAACAAAAAAAATGCATACTTTCCCAAGAAAATGTTGACGACAAGTCCATTAAAGTAATCATCGCAAGAAACCCAGATAAAGAAAGAATGGAGAAAGAGAATCAAAAGCAGTCGTAGGTAACAAGCAAAATGCAACATTCGTGAAAGGGGTAAAAGAGAGCGAACCAGTGAGAGGAGAAAGGAAGAGAACGTGGCGTGAGGAAGACGATGGAAGATTGGGAGAGGAGACATTGAGAAAGATCTCTCCAAGTCTCTTCCACGAATCGTCTTCTGCTTCGTGGTCGATAATCTCTGCTCTCTAGTCTTTTTGGAGTCAACTGGATATTTCAATCGGCCAAGTGGGGCTATTTTCTTTGTTGTCATTTTTATTTATTATTGCCAAATTCTTTTGTTGTCATTGAAATTAAATAACTGTAACAATATTCGTTGGTGGTATCCATTCCCATCTAATTATTATGGTTATGGCCAAAAAACTGATAACTACTACTTAACATGAACAACGTCGGAAACTGTAGAAACGACATGGACTTTATTATATAGTGACCTTTTTTTATATAGTGACAAAATTATAAAATAAATACATCTGTGTTGTATATAACAATTTTTAAAACCAAAAACTAAAAATAATTTTTGTAAACTTGAAAAACATTACTATTTCTCAAACTATATAGTATACTTATACAAAATTTGCATAAATAGTAGTATATTCAGCTCCTATCAATATCCCTCTTTCTGACAATACCAACTCTCTGATGAAAACTAAGAGTATAATTTAATTTACTATTAAATAATAATTTCTTTCATATTACCCAATAATTTAAAACTAAGAGTATAATTTAATTTACTATTAAATAATAATTTCTTTCATATTACCCAATAATTTATAATCAATATAACCAAAGAAAAATATAATTCAAAATTTTAAGCGAAATAAAATAACTGTTGAATGTTGCCGCCAAAGAAAAATATAATTCAAAATTTTAAGCGAAATAAAATAACTGTTGACAAAAATATTACAAAACAAACTAAGAGAAATTATTTTGTAATTGACCATCATGATATATATAGTCTAGTGTAATTGTTTTTTCTTTTTTCCCTATGTGTCTTCGTTGTGCTACCATCAAATTTTAGACCGACATGATGTATGTTATTGAAAAACAATAGATTAAAAACTGTGATAAACAAAATGCAGTAGTGTTTAATTGGCTGAAAAAATGACTAACAAAGAAGAAATTGGTTAAAAATGCTTAAAACTGATCTCTCTCATTTGATCCGTATTTTAGGCAATTTTGTCACCATTTTTTTCTTAACTATTACTAATAGTTTTAGCTTTGAAGAATGAAAACCTAATCTTCCAAGCTTTGACTTGTTAAGCCTTTTTTTATAAAAAAAAACTTTGACTTGTAAAGGCCGGATCGCATTTTCTTCATTTTACCTTCTTTATAGGATAATTAATGATTCATTGATTTGTTTAAGAAGTGACATCCGTGAACAAAAAAAATCAGGAAGTATTTGTGCATCATGACTTCATGAGCATTTGTTTTGAACCGATCTTCTTTTTGCTTTTCTGGTTGGCTACACTGAAATCTTGAAAGAGATGATTTGGTCGTTTTTTGGTATGGTTAAACATAATCCTTTTGGTCAGAATTTTAGTGATCAGACTAATTGTATACTATGTTTTCGATTTGGTTAAACTTAACAGTTTTTTTATTTATCAAAAAATGCATGCAAAACTTAACTGTGAGAGAGGATATATAAATAGTATACGAAACCACATTCAAATCGACAAGTCCATAAATTTTACATACAACTTAAACTAAAGAGATAGAAAACATATACTCATACTTTTTTTTATTGGTCAAAAGAAATTTTAGAAGATTAACACCATCATGTGAGCGAATAACTCAGTGCATTTCACTAGGACACATCATCTTAACCATGACATGTAGATAGAGTTTCCCATTATAAACCATAAAACCTTTTGCAACAAGAATGTCTTCTTTCCATTCATTAATGTCTAAAAGATTAACATTAAAAATGGAATTAACCGGAAATAAGAAAGTGGAAATACATCTAAATGCATGGTGAGTATTTTGGTTTGAAGTGATCTTCAGTTTGGTATTCCGGTTATGGAAACGGAGAAGGAGCAATAGAGACAATATTCGATTCATTCACGTTCTAGTCTAGAGAAAGCCTACCCTACCCATAAGGGAGGGTCCTTGTGACAGAGACTTTTGTATTGATGCAGTAATAAAAGGTTAAAATAGATACTATGAAAAACACATAACCCACCAATAATACTCTCTTCTCTTTGACCACCCTTTGACCACCCTTTGACCACTCTCTCTCGCTCTCTACCCTTCTCCATAATGTATGTATCACTCTTACATACCTTGCCATTAGCCTCACACTAGCGCGTACACTTCCACACGCTTCACATTCCATCATCATCGTAAAAGACAACTTTTAAAATGCATGATTAATTAATGATTCATTAATTACTCCATGACAAGAACATCTTGCATGGTTGATATATAGGTCTAATACTTTATTTGCCAACATATCGTTACAAATCAAGATTCATATATACACATGTCTACATCCTAACTAAGCAAACCAATCACCAACTTAACATCTAAAAATTGAATCTATTTACTATAATTATTAAGGTGGACCTCCTTGATGATTGTGATTATTATGACAAGAAGAAGAAGAAGCCAAAGCAAGAATAGAGGTTGCGAGTTGATTAATGGCATCCACCAAACCACTTATACCTTGTCTATTTATCTCAGCTTTTGATTCCTCAATCTTTAGTCTCCTCTCTTGTAGCTTCACCACTTCCTTATGCCTCCTCTCTTGTCTCTCCTCACTCTCTCTTATCACTTGTGTGATCACAGACGCGCATCTAGATAACGCCGCCCCAATGGCAACCTCCTCTGCCTCCCTCTCTCCTCCGGCGGTGGTTTCTCCCGGCGTTGTCTTCCTTCGCTTTCCCGGCGATCTGTCTGAATGTGGGTTTACTACTTCAATCGTTAATCTTAATATACTCAAGAACATTATCATAAAGGATTGTACACACACACACAAGCAAATTTAGGGTTACATTTTTTTTGATCATGGTAATTGTAAAGTTTTGATTTTTTATGTATAATTGGACTGATTGTAACAAGTTGACATGTGGGTATTTGTTGGAATGTCGAAATTTTCTTTATAAGTTTAATATAGAATCTAACTTTAGGGGTCATTTAATTAAGGAGTTAAGAAGAGAGATAAAAGGAAGGTACCTACTGTGGGCTGCATAGGCTCAACGTGAAATGAGGACGACGGTGGAAGTTGAGGCGGCGAAGGAAGTGATAAGCATAGAGATTGTGGCGGCGGTGGCGGATAAGATAATACAATAGTAGTCGGGGTTTGATGCATCGGCTGAGCCATCATCGGAGCTACAAATCCTAAACTTTGTTGGCACACTCTTAGGATCTGGCTGCCGTTACGGTTTCCTACGGCGGCGGAGGAGGAGGAAGGAAGAGTCTTTCTTCCAACAAGCTCAGCCAAAGCGTCGTATATCTGAGACAACATGTTACTTGGCAAGTTCTTCTCTTTCCTCTCACTCTTGTCCATTTTCCAGTAAGAGGAAGAAGAGCTGGTGTTAAAAGACGATTCTACCCTCAATCTCTCGTACTCTCTGATCTTCTTGTAATCCCTCATGAGATTGTCCCACTTATCGTTGCACTGATTCTGGTCCCTCTGACATCCTCTTCTCCAACAATACTCCTCTATCCACTTCCACCGGAGCTCTGCTGGTTTATTTCTGCCTTCCGGTTGTTTCTCTGATCGCCGCACACGTCTCTCGTCGTCCATCTTCTTGGCTTCTATGAGAACCAAAGTCTCACTCACTGTCCAATTCCCTTTCCTATACTCTCTCATAACCATATGTTCACCACTCGATGGATCAGCCATATATGTGTCTTTTTGGATTTACCAAGAGCTAGGTAGCCATACGTGTGTCTTTCAATCTTGAATTCAAGAACTAGAGAGAGAGAGAGAGAGAGAGAGAGAGAGAGAAAAATAAGTGTTAGAGAAAGGGAAGAAGAAAGAGATGAGCCAAGACCGGTCAAAGTCTTTTGTTTTGTAGTACTAAGATTGTCACCAAGTTCGAAAAGACAATGCTTCCAATAATGAGAAAGAAAAGAAGAAAAACAAAGCAAGTAATGCTTTTCATTACATTAATACTATATTAACACCTTCATTCCTTTTTCTTTTCTAATCTATGTTTCATGTCTCTAGTTTTTATGGTTGAACAATTCTATGGATCTAACTGAGTAACGGGTACAAGTAAACGAAACTTTTAAGCGCGGCATGAAGCTTCTAACGAGACGCCGTACTCAAGAAGTTCTCTGGATAGACGAACGAGGGAGTTTAGGATCTCGACTTCTCAGCTTAATCGAAATATGAATCGGTATGTTTTTTTCTTCCTTTTGAAGATTCACAAGCTGATATTTTACCTCACACATATGGTGAATCGTTTAGGGAAAAACATATTAGCTAGTCTCCCTGCCGTAGTCGGTTTCAACAAAGCATTGATGCATTGTTGACAACAATTTAAGAACGACCCAAGTAACCAAAAAATAGGTTAATGATTCCTACCTAATACGGTACTCGATAATTAACTCTCTAAGTATCATATCAGAGAGACTACCAAATAGAAGTAATATGATCCAAACACAAGCAGAGAAAACATCATAATATTCAAATTTCCCATATCCATATTTTTGTCATGAATTCCACATTAGGAGGAAAATAGGGAGGGAACAATGTTTGTTGAATCTTATTTATAAGATCAGAGAAGACCACCCCTAAGAGCAAGAACCAAATGAAGAACAGAGCCACCCTCTATCGCGTAATCTTTGGCCGTTTTGTCATCAGCAAGCTGTTTCCCGGCATAGATGAGCCTGAAAATCCAAAGTGTACGATATGAGGCACAGAGTTATATAATGGCTTAAGAAGACGGAAACAAACAATGGTAAAACATGCAATATACTGTAAACAATGTCATCCAAAACCAAAGTTGAAAACGATGTGAGAGCACACAACAAATCAGGACGGGACTCAATTGAGGCTTGAATGCACCAAGACAAACAAAAACGATGCAACACAAAGGCTTCAAATCATAAGAGAAAAGGTAAGTTTTTTTTTACCTTTGTTGAACAGGAGGGATGCCTTCTTTCTCTTCAACCCGTTCCTTGATCCGATCAATAGTATCAGTTGGTTCGATATCAATCTCGATTTCTTTTCCAGTGAGTGTCTTGACCTTGATCATAGTTCCACCTCTGAGCCTCAAGACCAGATGAAGAGTAGACTCTTTCTGGATGTTGTAATCGGCTAAGGTCCGGCCATCTTCCAATTGCTTACCAGCAAAAATCAGCCTTTGTTGATCAGGTGGAATACCCTCTTTGTCCTGTTCAACATTAAAAACCAAAAATTACCAAAGATCAAACAAAACGAAGAGTTCAGCTTTGAACAAGCCTATAGCTATTCTCAAGCAAATCAAATCGATGTTCTTCAAGATTGCTACTCGAAACAATTCTTAATTTTACAATTCAAGGGTTTTACTTTGATCGGCTGGGGACTATATCAGATTGCTCTAAGAACAAACACCAAGACACATAATCCAACGTAGAAATTCAGAGGAAGCAAAGAATCGTAGAGAGGATAAAGAAGAAAAGAAGCCCTAATTAATTAAACCTGGATTTTGGCTTTGACATTGTCGATGGTGTCGCTGCTCTCAACCTCTAGGGTTATAGTTTTGCCGGTGAGGGTTTTGACGAAGATCTGCATTATCTCTATTCGCGATGAGTTAAAATCTTCTTCTCTCTCGGATTCTTAGGCGGGTCTGTGCGACGGGTATTAATTGTCTGCGTTTATATATATATACGCACTGCTAAGGTATAAGAGTGGTCTCTGGGTCGGCGTTTAGACTACGCCAACTTTTATTATTCTGACTTTTTAAGCCCAATATGTCTTCGGACTTCGGTCATATTAAAAATCTCTTTCGGTTTGAGTTCATTTCTAAATTCAATTGGTTTGCATATGAATGACCTTTAGTTAGAGGAATTAATTGTGAGATTCGAAAGTGGATTACACGAGATATGCCAAACTAGATCAGAATCGTATCTAAACAGTCCATAGAATGTTTAGGTTCTACAAGTTATTGCAATATTTTACGGGTGGTTGCAAAAAAGATGTAAACAATCACTCCGAATTTAAATAAAAATGTAAACATAGAAAGAATATATTTTGTATCATATTAAAAGAATCTGGCACACTGATCAATCATCTCCCACCACTATACACACTAACTCCATTGAAATCTAGCCGCCGTACCATCTTCACCATAAATATTTCTCTCCCTCTTACATCTTTATATATATATAAAAAAAAAAAAGTATTTTACTACTACCACTACATTAATTGGAGAGAAGTAACAAAAATGGCGAATTTGCTATGTAACTTTAGACTCCAAAGCTTGGGGTCTCTAGTTCTACATATGTTCCAGTGATCCACCTTTGAGCCTCTCCATTCGGGCTTGAAGACCGGACAATGCTTTCTCATCCATTGGGAGAACCACCGGGTGTGTGTGGGGTGTCTCTTGTCCCATTTGGCTCTGGGGAACGCTCTGTTGGTTCATTGATAAGTTATCGTTTGTTGGCATCAGCGGTTTGCTTACCGGCTCCAGGGTTCCTGATGAAGCCAGTTGCATGTTCTTCATCCTTTCTCTGATTGCATCTAGCGTCCCTGTCATCACTGCCAAAGATAACAGATATGAATAAACACCGCAAGGAAGAACAAAGAAGGATAAGGATCTAGGAAACTACCTCCAGGATTCATGTTACTGGCTCGGATGTCATCGGTATATAAATCAGATCTAGGGTTCATCAGAGGCTTCGCATCTAAAGAGGACAAGGAAGGAATATCGGGAGATGGAAGAGCTAAGGAAGAAGGGGGAGGAGTTGACAACGGTAGGCTTGAAGGCGTTCTTCCCGCAGCTGCATTCTTCTCAACCTACAAAACCGATTGCAAAACTTCAAGACACAAAATAACTTGAGCTTTATGGAAATCATAGTAAAAGCTAGGAGATTTGTTGCAGACCTGGGCCAGACCGTCTCTGATGTAAGTACGAAACGCTTCGCTAGCATTTTGAAGTTGGGAAAAAATATCAACCTACAAGCATCAAAATGAGTTTGTAAGTACATACAATTTGGCTCGTATGGTCATGTGTTCATGAAGAACAGGAGACACAGAGACAAGACTTGGAATCCAAAGCCATATATATTACCTTTGGATAGGACTTGGTGATGTGGTAGAGGTCGTAAAGACCTATTTTGGAAGTTTGTTTGTCACCTATTTTCTTAAAAATTGCCCCAAGCTCTTGCTTCAACTGAACATCAGCAGAATTTGCGGGAGGTGAAGGATTGTTGGCTGTTGAATCTGTCCAATGGGTTTGGCCCACAGGACCTGTTGCAGTTAACATTCTTGCAGCAGCTAAAGTCTGCAAGTATTTAAATAGTTACACCAATGACGTCTGAATTTCTCAAAACCCAGTAAAATTCACTTGCAAAATGGAAGTACTTTTTCAGATGTTTTATTCGATTAAGCAATTTAGTACATATGATCTTTCAAGTTCACCATCATGAGAGGTAGTACAGCAAATAGTTTGGATGCGCTCTTTGACCAAACCCTCAGCTTCAGCATATTTGTCAAAATTTCTGGACATGAAGTTAGAAGACTAAGGAGGTCTCACCTCAAGGTTTAGATCGATGTAAGCGAGAATGATGGGTTGTGGCCTCATGTCAATAGGGACAAGAGACAAGTGGCCCTTAATTGCGGCTCCCCGGAGCTTAACAAGTTCATGTAGAACAGTTTTCACCATCCTCAGAGGTTTATCATCTGCCCCAGCTCTTTTCATTGGAAATACCAACCAAGAATGAATTAGTATTGTCAAGTACGAAAAATCTCCACATAATATACAGACTAAGATTTGCAAAATTTATAAGATTTTGCATTTAAGGAGATGTACCTCCTACGTATCTCTTCCATTCCCAGCTCTTGCAGATATACATGGATACTCTGAAGAAGTCTATCAAGATCAACTTCATATATGGTGCTTTGGAGGAGCTTAACATGGACAAGCAATTATCAGATATACAATACCAAACAATTTGACACTGAGATTGTAGCAAGTAGGAAAGGCAAGTGTTGCATAATAGGCAGCAGGACTGGTACGTAACAACTACTTAAGTTATGTGAATAATGATTGTCCTAAAATACCTTTGTAAGTTTAATAAGGCATTTAACTACCAAATCAGAAAATTTCTGATTCCGGACAGCATACACTTCAGCCGTAGCAGGTGAAGGCCATCTAGATGGATCTAGAGGACGTAGCAAGCTAATAAGGACCACAAACGAAGATGTCCGATCTGCATTATCCTGAATTTAATAAAACAAGAAAAAAAGTAATGAAGTCAGAGAACTTCATAGCCACATATGATGGAAACCTTTAGCATGGGAGGAATATCTGACCAGGATCTTAAGCATCAAAACATTCAGAGCTTTCAGCAGTTGGCTCCCATCTTCCATGCGTGGAACTCTTTCATCCAGAAGCCAAAGCAAGAGCTCAGTTATAAGGCTTTCAAGAGTCCCTTCTTTGACTGCATGGGCAAGCTTTTTATTTTGGAATGTCTGCAACAATACATACTAGTGAGTAGTGAGCTTAACAAACAAACCTAAGTGGGCTAGCCAGCTAATGAAGAAGAGAAGCATCACTAATTCACACAAAGTTACCTGCATAAGTGTGTTCAAAACATATTTACACGACCTCGATGAAGCTCCCATTAAGCTAACATCAAATGTTTTGGCAACCTAACAGAAAACAAAAATAATTAAGTGGTGGTCAGCAAAAACTATTATTGGAAGTAGTTCTTCATGACAAATGGACAAAGAAAGTTTATCAGGCAAACCTTATTTGCTAAGCATGAAACAAGCCCATCTGCATCCTTCACAAGTTCATCAATTGCACTCTCTTCAGGATCATTAGAAGCCTGTGCCAACTCATGACACACAACTTTCATCCCTTCAACCGACTGCAACACATTAAAGAAGAAAATAAAAACAAAATCAAGACTTGCAGGATCTTCAAATATGCATCACCTAAGTTTCTAAATGACAAAACTGTAAGTGATAAATATCGGTCAACGTACCATCACAACCAAATCAAACATATCATATGTTCTAAGGACCTTAAATAAGTCTTTGTTACTGACTAGATAACTGAGTTACTATAAGAATCTCAAGTAAATTTCTTTACTATTACCCTAAAACAGAAAAAAGCTATTCCATAACAAACAACACAAATAATATCAAGATCGGGCCACATAAGCCAGATACCTGCTCTGGAGAACCAAACATAATGATGTCCAAAGCCTCATTCCAGTCTGTAGGGCCATTAACTCCAGCAATTGTCCGAGGTACCGGGTTCCTCTCCAGAATTTGTTCGGAAATACCATAATTTTGCCTGGGAGGGAAAAATGATTGAGTTGTGTATAGAAGCCACGTGAACACCAGAAACTTATATATGTTTTACCTTGGAAATAAAGGACCAGGGACTATTTGAGAAAGGTCACCACTTTGCTCTGCCACTTCAGGTCTGGAAACAAACAGAAAGTCATAAATTATAGACACCAAACACATCATGGAATCCTTTCTGTTCCTGATTACTTAAAAAACCAACATTGAAATAATTTTGTGATTCTAAAATGGATTATTAGGCCTTGGATTTGATGTGATTATCTTTTTTGGCTTCCCTTTCAGCTAATTGCTAATGCTATGTACAAATAAGTCGCTACCAAAACGTCTTAATGCTGTAACCTACGCACCCATTATCTCTAACAGAACGCCTTAATGCTGCTCGTGCCTCCCCAGGTTTCCCTTCTCTTCTTTTCTCCATTTCCTTGACCTGATGCAGGCAAAACGATGAAAACAAAACTCACAAATACAAGACTGAAGCAGAAAAATCGTTCATATTTTGAGCTTACTTTCCACTTAAATCTATCATCAATCATACTCTTTTGGGCATCTGTAAGCTTCCCAACATATTTCCAGATGTCATCACCTGCAATAACAAGCCAAACAATAAGAAACGAGTGCAAATAGTTCTCTCAAGGAAATGGATAACCAAGTGCGAAATTCGTTTCAGAATCATGATTAGGTTCCAGGTTTTTATGAAACGTTGACAAGCCAAAATTGTGCACTACAACTGCGAGACATGGCAGCATGTTTTGAAAAAATTCCACAATAACTTCAAAAGAGCTCAAGAATTTCATGTCCTACCAAGAATCTTATAACCAGTAGCCATGGTGTTCAAAGCAGCTTTCCTGAGTTCTCCATCTCTTTCTGCCGTCAAGCTTGCAACCATATTCAAGTATTTCAGTAGTCCACCTATCTGCTTAGAAAGGCATATTAGAATTCGAACAGAACAAGAATATCAGATAATTTGTCAAGTCTTGCTACTACCTCAGTTCCACAAGTCTCGAGTAGATATCCTATGAGATCAGTACACTCTATCCTCGTCCGGTTGTTTTTGGAACGTAAACCTTCCAAAATATAGGGATACGTCTTTGCTACAGAATAAGCCTGGATAAGCTGCTTCATCAGCTCCCGCATTTTTTCTCTTACTTTTTCAATGTTATGCCCCAACTGCACCAAGGACAGGGAGTTAAATATAAAGACACTGAAGCACCAATCTTTTTCTAAAAGAGAAAGATAAACGGGAATTATTATAAAGAGGCCAAGGCCAACACCACAGGAAATTGGATTAATATTCCTAACCTTCTCCGCTAAACAAGGCAGAAATATTGCAGCTTCTGCTTCCGTCATGCAGTATTCCTCATCCCTCAATGTGTTGAAAAGTTCTGGAAGAAACTCAAGCACCTATTCTTAC